ATTGTATGATTAGTAGGCGTTTCAGATACACTTTATATATAAATATACCTATACACACGCGCGCGCGCGCGCGCGCACACACACACACACACACATATATAAAATATATTTTCCCGACAGAACATAGTTCCCTTTCCTTTTTCCCCAGTGAACTCCTTCTGTGTTCGTGTTTTACTATGTTTGTCAAAGACTTCGAACGCCGTTCTATGGAAAATTTGTAGTTGCTTCTCGAAATCGGGTAAAGCAGGCATCTATGTGATTCGGGAATAAGGATTTTATTGGATTCTGTCACCCATGTACCTTTTATTAACTCTCTATGAAACGATCACGGTGGCCCCCTTTGAAAATCTAATGTATACACAGATGCGCATAAATATATATACGTATGATATTGCAAGCATATAAATACATCAAATCATCTGACTTTTTCCTGTTGATTCTAAATGCTGAGACGATGCGGATTTACTGGACTGTTTAATTTGACGAGAAAGAGGAACTTTGATATTTTTCTTGCGCAAACCATGAATCGTTCTCATACGATATATCTAAAAAAAATGTAAATTACAAAAAGTTTTAGAAACAAGAAATATCATGTACGATATGTGATATTTTATATAGTAAAGTTATGAATAACTATAATATTAATGCGCTGGATAAGAATTAATTATTTATACTTTTATATTAAAATTAAGTTTCCCAGAAAAGAGAAAAAACTATTTTTTAATTTGACAGAAAATTGTCGACTAATAAAGTAATATTGCTAAAAAAAAGTATATTCTTAACATGATCAAATGTCATTTTTATGAACTATTTTTTATGAAATCAAGTTCGCTTTTAATAATTGATAGAGTAATGTTTATTGTATCCATTCATGATAATAATTCGTATTTTCTAAGTTGTGTTATTATTGTTTAAATAAGAGAACAGTATATTACTTATTCAATTAGATAATCAATTAATTTCTAATCCACGATACTAGTGATTTGCAATGTAACGGTATTCTAATAGCTAATTTCACGCTGGTTAACCAAACTTCTCGAAAAACGAAAGCACTCACCGCTCGTGCAATCGATCAAGCTAATGACAAACAAAACTACGAAACGTAATATAAACTGGCTTCTCGGTGATATACTTATAATAAAAAAGCAATTTGATTATAGTGTCCAGAATTCTAAATCGCTTGAGAAAAAGAAAATTTTGCGCGAGAGGTGATATGTCCGTATCATCATTTGCTAGAAATTTAGAAAATGACTGTTAGCAAACAATTTTCCTTCCATCTTTGAGAATTTTCTGTTATACTCAAAGGCACGGTTCAATCTAGATTATCGTAACAAGTACAACCGAGAATTCCGATATAAAAAAACTCGGAGGGGATACAGAAAAACTCGGAGGAGAGAAAAACTCACTGATAAATCGATTTTTGTACAATATTTTTTTCACGCACGTCATGCCAAGCAACGTGCGTTATTATCGTTACATATCGTGCGCGACACTCTTTGTTTACGCGTGCGGTTTGTATCGCGTACTGCGTACCGGATTGTCGAACGCGAACGATCTTTCGCGTTTACCTCGCGTGAAACAATGCTCGCTTCGAGGGAGGAATTAATTGGAATGTTTGAAAACATCACTGCGACAAGCCGATGTTACAAAGTAACAGTAACTGGGCAGCCAAGCAATAAATATTGTATTCCCCGCTTCTTATTCACGAATATTATATCAATTTAATAAAAAAAAGAGAAAGAAAAAAAATAAAAAGACTCCATATCTTCGATGTAACTTTCTGCGACAGGAGAGGTATATAGGGTGCATTTCTGGTCACGAATCGAACAACTGTCGATATAAATAGGAGAGAAGGAGGGTGAGAAAAAAACCGCAACCAGCTTGCAGTCGATAGGCAAGATACAAGGCAATATCGATTGAATATTAGGATCTGCAGGGCATGCGGAACTGGCGCACATTAGCCTCTTTGACTTGCTAAATAGGTTAATTTGAATGTTTAAATTCCGGCTTGGTGCAACTCAATTTGCGAGAGGATTCCGCGACTGGTTAATTCCTTTCCTTCGTCCCGCGAGCCACTTCGCGTCCCTCTTCCGCGTCCCTCTTGCTTCTCAGGCTCCTCCTGCTTCATCTTCTCCTGCATTTCCCAACACCAAAGTCACTCTTGAAGCTGGACTGTTAACTTCCAGAGCATTTCGAGCGCTGCACGCACGCACGCACACCTCTATTTCTTCCCCGAGGCCCTCACATGGTTTCTCCCTTAATTGGAGAATATTATTTGCGCTACGCTACGCCTGATCTTTTACGCATGGCGATTCCCGATTGCCAGACCTGCCAGACGTAACAAAAAGAAAGTTGGAATGCAAATGGAGATTCGTTCGTCGCTTAACATAATTCGTAGCCAACATAGCAGAGACCGAGAAAATAGCGGAAATTGCAGTGAAAATAATGAAACCGCAGTACGCCGTAAATTTACAACTATCGAACTAATACTTCGTCGGACTGCAATTAAATTTTTAAACGCAGTTTCCAGTAATAATGGTATATCATCCGCGCGATTACGTGCACATTACATGACAAATCTTCGTTAAACTCATCCAAAAGCTATGTTAAATGATACAATGTATTATTCTTGTATATATTGTATAAATAATATTTTATATACAAGTAAAATCTTTTTTTTTGTAATTTAATTGTATTCGAGATGGCCAACATAAACGCACATTTAATTTTTCAAATCAAAATTTGGGACGAAAATTTATTTACAATTTTACCCATTTAATATAAAAAACATTTAAAAAGGTGCGCGCGTTCCTTTGTATATAAATCAATATAATCTGCGTATTGACACACACACACACACACACACACACACACACACACACACACACACACACACACACACACACACACACACATATATATGTACAGTAAGTGCAAAAAATATTCGGACAAGAAAATTTTTTGAGGTATCTTTTACGGGTATCTTCTTTAGAGGTGCTAAAAGGTTTGCGGGTTATCGCCGTGATTCATTGCTAATGCCAACGTTTCGTGAACCTTGCCGTTCACTTCATCAGGGCGAGGAGAGTACTGATACCGAGCTACTTCTCCGAAGGCATGCGTTCCACCAAAGAACGCATCCATTTCACTAAGACACAAATAGACAGGATTTCTCAGAAATCCTTTCAACTCCATCTTCTCCTTTCATCCACATTGCGACAAGACATTTGACAAATCCTAGATCGCATTACGTACGAACAAACCCAGAGCATCTACACGCAGTGCACAGAATGGCAGAAGTAGAAATACAGCATCATGTGTCCACAGAAATGGCCTTAACGGCCATTTTACTTCACGCGGTCAATAACACGTCCGATAAGAGCTTGTTACCCAATACTATATCTGTATTGGCCAAGGGATTCAATTTTGTAATGATTCTTAATAGGAATCCCAAAAGAAGAAATTATTAGTCAAATAAAGTCAATCATCTCCATATAACAAAACAAACAGACAATATATCGACATAGGTAGCTAATATCCTCCACAAAGCCAAGTCTCCAGCGTCACCAGAAAAGAACGGCTGGCACTTCAGGAAATGATTCAGACATCATCGTACTTCCAGCCGACAAAGTCAACACGATGGCAATCATGAATCACACATCAGATTACAGAATGAAAATGAAGACCCTCCTTTCAGACGAAACATCTACTAGGCTGGATAAAGATCTCAAACAAGATTACACGAAATTAGTGTCTTAATAGAAAAAAATAGAGTTCCCAGCAAAAAATTAGGCAACATTGAATTCTACAAAGTCCCTTCCACCAAGACTATATGAACTGCCAAAAATATAAACCTGATGTCCTTCTCAAATCAATTATTAGTGCCAAACCAATTATAAAATCTTTTATATATATGTATATAT